GAAATTAAATTGAATTTACTTTTATCTCCTCTTTTTTTTTAATCAATATTACATCAAATAAACTTGTATAGCCCTTAAAACTTACTTTATCAGTAGCTGTTTAGTTCAATTCATTTATAAATACATTTCGGCAATAATATTAATCTAGCCTGCATTCTTGTTTTTAGTCATCATTTTAAGCAAGTTCCAACATGTTCTTTTGCATGGCCTTGTTAAGCTAATCTAACCACACGAGTACAATGCATTGTAGGTTGTATTGACATTGTATGACCTTAATGAATGACTCATTCATATTCCAGATATTGTTTGGAAATTGTAAAAGGAACAGATTACATAGCAGTTTCTGGCTATACCATTTGTATCTAGGTGGTTTCAATATCATTATATAGTTTAATTTTCAAATTATGAAAATGTGTGATTTTCATTTGTTTTTCCTAATGAAGAAAACCTAATGAAGAAATTCAATACATTTTAAATTATATAACAAAAAAAAGGAAAATAGCAACGCAAGCCGCGAAAAAAAACTCGAGACGTTTATGCAGCTAGTGCAGTTTCTGTTTGAGTAGCACAAATTTAGTTTCAACTATTTCCGTCCGGAAATCTTGAAGTCAAAGATACACGTCGCTACGGTCGCCCTATTACGGAGAAAATGGAATGGCGCATTTGAAAAAAGCTGGGTCCACGAAAAAGTAGGAATTTTGGGTATCTCACGGACATCACTGAAAGAAACTTAATGAAGCATGTACTCATTTATCATTCTTTGATACGGCGTAATGAAACCGAACCATTTTTGAATAAGTGGATAACTAGTGATGAAAAGTGGATCATGTATGACAAGAAAATGATAAAAGGTAAGCTTAGTAAAGGTCGGTCAGGCTTCACAGACTGTGGCAAAACCCAGGTTAACTCGCAACAAGGCTATACTGTGTGTATGGTGGGATTGGAAGGGCATTATTCATTATGAACTGTTACCTACAGACAGAACCATCGATTCTGAACCCTACTACAAACAACTGATTAAAGCAAGAAGTTGAGAGAAAGCAGCTAGAATTAATCAATAGAAGGGGTGTGGTTTTTCATCATGATAACGCTAGACCTCACACATCTTTTGCCTTTCAGCAAAAATTAAGAGAGTTTGGCTGGGAGATGTTAATGCATCTGTCATATAGTCCTGACCTTGCACCTTCAGATTTCCACCTGTTTCAATTTCTTCAGAATTATTTAGGCAGTTCAGGTTAACATCATGTGAGGACTGCCAAAACCTCTTGTCACATTTTTTTATCAGAAGCCCCAAAAGTCCTCGCATGATGTTAACCTGAACTGCCTAGATCATGTCTCTACCTATGAGATGGCAAAAAATTGTCGAACAAAATGGTACCTACAATTAACTGTAATATTAAACCTTAATAAATTGTGTTTGATTTTCATTATTCAGGAAATTTTTTTGGCACTAAAAAGACTGAATTTAGTTTTAATCTTGTTTAGTTATACATTGATATATATGTAATTAAGATTAGGTAACCTTGGTTCTAGGTTCTATTAATTTCTTACCTTAAAATATATTTTTTTAATATAGAGTGGTAGTCACCAGTTTATTCAAATATTTCAAATTTACCCACTTTATTTTAAACCCTAATAATTAAAAAATAAAGTTCAAAATCAATTGCAGATATTTGACTTATTGTGCTAACCTGATATGCAGCCATGTACAGTAGAGATGCCACTAATAACTGCTTATAAATTAAGAAATTAGATGTGCGCAATTCTTTGTATGTTTTGTATAACATACCTGTATTATTGAATGTACTACAATTGCTAAAGATAGACAATTATAACATGATGATAATTATTTTTTCAAGATTATTAATATAAATAATATTAAGTATGAATGTGCATTAACTTCAATTTATCAAATTAAAATATCAACATTACTAATGCAAAATGGCTATAACCATTTAATTATTATTAGTCCATGTTAACCATTTATTAGTCGATATTAATGCAATGGTCATCTGGTTTAAGAAGTTAATATAGTTAAATAAGTATTTAATCGTGATAATAGTTTGTTTTAAGGATTTACACAGAGACTGATAAAGGTAACAGTAAAATGTTAAGTTGCCTAATATCATACTGAACAATGTAAGTATTGGACATATCTGTCTGGTGCCCTATTATTTTTAGATAAGTTATTTTGTTATTATTATGTCTACTTTTAATGTCTACTCTAGCTTTATTGATATTGAAATATAATTTAAGTCTCAATAGTAACTTATATTTTAATATCGTAGTATAAATTATAAAGTAACAGTTCCAAATTAAATAATAACTGATAGTACACACAAAATCCAATTAAATCTATAATAATGTGATTAATTGACAAAATAAAAGAACAAATAAAATTAGCTATTACATAAAACAAACGATTACTGATTTGGTGCAAAAATATGATGCTTTTGAATTCTCAAATAATAATATTGGTTATCTTTTGGTTTAGATGTCCTTGCATAGGCGTAGTGTAATCAGCTGATAAGGGGGCTGCGTATGTAACGCATAGAACGACGTATGTATTGCCCGAGTGTCGGCGCATGCTTACAGATTTAACCAAACTGAAATCAATTAGCTCATGCGAACCTTTCCCAAATAGAAACACCAACTGTGCCACATGATCGGTCTACAATCACCATCACGGCTGCGCCACACGATGCACAAAATCGAATACCATTACTTATTTACTTGTATGTTTATTGCCGTGTGCGGCGGCCTACATGCGCAGATCCTCTTTTAGTTTTATAATGCATAAGCACTCACCGTCAGTTTCCATTGTCCCAAAGGCGATGCACAGTGTAAACAGTCAAACCACATAATAAAACAAAATGGAAGTCCGATTCGCCCGCACAGAGATGAGGATTTTATGAGCTATCCGAACACCTCTCGCGAGTTGTAAAACGTTGTTACTATCCTATCGTAGTATTTTAGCAGCCCCCCTCCAGTTTATTATCTGCCTTCACCAATAATATGAATCACGATCACAAAGGAATTTATCCTGTCCACGCGAAGAAACACTACAATTCACAATATTAGATGACAGTTTACACGAAATTTAGCTTCCACTTGAAAATAATAATCATTGAAGCGTTTGACGTTCCAAGACACAACTCCCACATCAAAAAATTTTAGTTTCTACATGGCGACTAGCCTGGCCCAGCTTTCAATAATTTCCACTCGAAACATATCACTATTTCACTCGTTCACCATTCATTTATTTATTTCTCAATACGCGCGAAAGAGATAGGAATATACAAATATTTCCTTGTATGAATAGAATCGGTGTTGTGAAGTGTCCCTCCCCGGCAGGCGGTAGCGCTGGTCGCGAGCGAGTTGAATGGACCCGAGACGCGCTCAACCATTGGATCGATGACGGTCACGTGATGCAAATATATCGTGCTTGGCAAAAAGCCGCGAAATTTAAACCAAGAAATTCTATTTTATTCGTTTGTTTTATTTAGTAGGCCTACTCTTGAATTATTTCAATAGCAGTTTATTTAACTGAATACTGATGAATACTATGCACGATCAGGCCATATTTACTTAAAAGTTTATACGATTAGTCTAATTTATGGTTTCTTATGTAAAACCGTAAGGTTAGTAATGTCAAGATACTTTTGAGTCGTAAATTATTGAATCCACACCTACATGAAATATGAGGCTTACGGGACTATTATGGTAGAACCGAAATGTTCCGATAAACTGGAGACAGCCATCTCATTTTGTGATCTAGAACAAAGGCATTGGTTCACGAATGGAGTACCTACTTAACTTATACTATGAATATGGTTACCTCAGCAGCCGAAGTGTATAGAAAAATACTTAAAGGAAAATGAGAGTGAAATCCGATATTATGTTGTAGGGAGACCTAGAGAAGTTTCAAATATTGAAAAGAAATCAGTTTTCTTGCTCTCAAAATCGTAGACAAGTATTGGCCTACACAAGTTTTCTGCTATTTAGATCTAGAGAAAATATTGGACAGAGTATTACTTTGTAGGGAATTGTGATCCAGTAAGGCACAGTGAACCATTAGCCATTTTCAAATAATGCAATGTTGCCGCTGTGGGCGATCTTTTTTATGTTCCTATGTCTTGTTATCTCTTTATTTTGTCGTGCCCCAAGGGCGGATCCATAGGGCTGCAATTCACTTTAATTTATTTCCTTATTTTCACCGTTCCTATTTATTTGAAAATTTTGGGAATACCTACTTGTCTCGGTGATGAATGGCACCTTAACATTTTTTATTGCACTTCAACTCCAACATATTGTACTTCAACATAAAGAGTCGAAAATGAGCTGCTGCTAGATAAGGATGAGACTCAATCACACCTCCATATTTAATTAATTAATTTAATATAAATATACAGACATATTATATACCTAACCATCGAGGGAGAAGGTGGTGTTAAATATATCTATATCCTCCGTGGTATAGTTTGTATAGGAACTTTCTTTATAAACCTTGTTCAAATGCAAATAAATTATGATCACTAATTATTAGTATGAAAATATAATTTAAAACTATAAAACTGGTTCCGTATCGGAAAAGAGCAAAAAAAAAACACTTACATTGCAGCCCCTTAAATATTTATTATATTTTGGTTTTTAGTATTTCTTGATGACTTTAGAAGATATAGATGAGATGAATCATACGGAAACTATGCGTACTACAAAAGTAACATTATCGCACCAAGTAAAGGGGGCTTTAGGACAATTATTACATATTTAACTAATTTTTGTATTTTTTGCAAAAGTGACAGTGTCGCACCGAGGGTGCGATTTGTTGTTGAAGCAGCAAAAGAAATACATCATCTGTGAAAATGTCAACTGTGTAACTTACACGGTTCTGGAGATACAACAGACAGACAGTGAACAGCAGTCTTAGTAATAGAGTTCCCATTTTACCCTTTGGACAAGAACCCTAAAAAAGGGAGTTTAGAGAGTAAAAAGACAATAAGAAATTGGTTTTTAGATATATTTATTATGTATGAAAATATATCCTAACTTACTTAAAATTAAGTAATGACTAAAGAAGGGCTTTTATAATTATGAAGAAATACAATAAGTGCTGTTACATTCTAGAAAATATACAACAAAATAAATTTTAGATGAAAATGTTGTTAATAAAGCAGTGATAAACAACTAAATGGTTCTTTGTGAATATATATCTTCAGACTACTATTAATTGATATCAACATTAAGGTTTCCATTACATTCACAATTTACAAACAAAGAAATAAATCTGATTTTTTTATGTTATTTCATAATTATTACTGATGCAATACTTTATAATCGTCAAATATATTCAAGCGATTGATATTGCATGCAATGATCTTACTAATTATGATGCCTGGCCTACTTAATTAAATTGCAACATTGGCTATGTTTGAGTTTACTTATTTTAAACATTAATCATATTATGTTAGATGCCAAGGCCAAAGACGGAGACGATGCAGTACATGGTTTTGTTTTCCCAGCGTACAGTACAGGATCCATCGGTGTTATTGTCCCAGAAACAAGAGGAGGCTGTATGTAGACCGGCACCATTTTTCTGCATTATTGTGCATGTCACTGAAATTAGATAATAATAAAATTTTGGCAAATGCTCTATGCGGAACACCGCAAATCAATGCCGCGTTTTATAACTGCACTTGATATACAGTCATAGTACATACCTATATATTTATAAGGTTTTTGCAACTTGGTCAACTGTCCCAAACAAGACTCCACCACAGCAGATGTCCATTGATTAACTTTGTTATGTTGATAGGCGGTGCCTCCAATAGAATTTTCAATAGCTTCCTTTATAATTTTGCTCACATCGTCTACAATAAATTGATTCTGAAACACGTCATATTAAATGAGTATCGGAAAAAAAATCAGCAAGCATCTATTCAAATTAACACTCACTTCTTCTGCTAGATCGTTACATTCTTTCACCTCCATGATTTCTAAATATGATTGAGAATAAGCTGTTTGAAAAGGGTTCGGTACAAAACAACAAAATTTTTGACGCTCACCGACTTCCAGAAAAACTGTAATTTGACATTTATGTATTGCACAATGTTGCCACTATACTAAGCTCCAATCTAAGCCTTCATCAAAGAGTACAGTAATAGGCCTCCATCGACAAAAACCGGTAAATCAGAAAATAAATATTGTAATAAAATGTGGTCATGTTGGCTATACTGTGAAACCGGATGTTACTGATTGTCATAGAGGAAGACAGAACTGGCAACACTCATTACCCTCTGCACGCGTAGCATGACAAACACGAGAAACGCTTTGTCTACACCCAATAAGGAATTATTAAAAAAAAATAGGTTCCCGAAAACAAACTAGATGTCGCTACAGTACGTTCTTGATTTCTCTATGACGCCCCGAGTTAAGTTTACGACGGCAGTTAATTTATAAAAAAAATATTTATTTATTTTAATTACAAGTTTATTATCTGAATATTCTACAAAGACTGATTTAACTATATTAATAATTCTATAACTAACTTATGCTACATTTGCACTTTACTTGTGACGCACGTTGGTGCGTCCGAATTTGGGTCAGCAGACGATGCAGTTTTGCATCGTTTAACTCCTCCCTCCTTAAGATGGAAGCGCGTCCCGCAGCTTCCTGCAGCGTCCTCGGTGCGTTCCTTAATTGGTTTCTGCTTTCGTTGATGCCACTGGTATAATTTCCATACAACGAATGTGGTCAGCAATAAATATAAAGCCAATGTAGACCAGCTTGGGGTTGCCATGATGGTTTGCCAGTTGATGTCGCTGTCGTTAAAGGTTTCTTCTGCGCGGTCCATTAATTCGTGAATGCTATCCAAAGGTATGTCTTCCAATTGGAGTTCATATCGTACGTTGCTTACTGGAGTAAATGTCTGGCTTGGAAGGGGGATAACTTCATCAGCTGAGATGTGGTTGCTATTGGTCTTCAGGGTTCTATTCAAGACTTCTATTTGACAGTCGCTTGTAATAGAGGCGATTTGTATTCCATCTACTCTTCTATAGCTGGATTTTGGTCCACAGGTCGTTCGCAGGATGACTTCTTCTTGTAGTAACAGAAGCCATTTGTTGTCTTGGAGATTTTGAATTTTCCCATGTTTGATGTTCATCCTCGCCTTGGTGCAGTTGGCTTCTTGATGTTTTATGAGTGATATTATACAGTCTTCTGTTTTTTCTATGTCTTGGGTATTCAACAGAGGGCAAAGTTGTGTATTTTGCGTGATCTTCTTGCAGCTCTCCTGTAGGTAGGCGTACTCATTGTTTCCCAGTGCGAGGTATTTGGATTTGGGAATAATGGTAAGGTTTTGTTTGTCAGGGATAGAATATATGTGGATAAGATCATAAAGGTTATTGTCTATGGATGGTATCTCTAATATGAATGTTAGCGTGTGTTCTGTGCTGTAAGCTTTTACTACGATGGATTTTTCTATCTTGTAAATATTTCTTATACTAATATTATCTACAGGCCTAAGAGAATGTAACTTTTGCATATTATGCAGTTCTAATAATAAACTATGAGGAGGAATTATACTAGGGTGCATTACACCTAGCTGAGAAAATGTCATTGCATCTTCTAACATAGCTAATTTATCTAAAACTACCTGTAAACTAAGATTAATTTGAATATAAAGATCTAAGAAGTGCATTTGGCTAAGTACTAAATTATTACTAATAGTGGTATTTGATAGCATTTCGACTAATTTATTTTGATTATTGTTTAGACTTTTAATTTGTTTACTAAATTCTTTTATTGTGTTTTCTGCCAAAAATATAGATTTCTTTTGTGAATTTCTGACATTATTAACTGAAGTTCTTAAATTTGTTATTTCATTTTCTATCTTTATAGCATCTTCGTTATCTAAATTTCCTGTTATTGCTTTCACGATAGAACCTAAGCCGTTTATAATACCACGTTTAATTCTAATGTGCGGTGCTACAAATATGATTTTCTTATTTATTAAATTTAAGCTATGCTCTATTTGGTCTTTATAGGACTTATGCGAACTATCGTCATTTTCGATAGATTTTACACTAGCGTAAAGTGCTAGAAGTTTAGTGTTTATTTCTCGAATGTATGTTACGTTATAGACACAAGCTAGACTAAAAGTATCAACCTGTCTAAGTACTTGCCCTTGTTTTAGCAACAGAATTCCGTTAACATTGTCAACAGGGGTAAGTGTCAGGTTTGCAACTGCGAAGAGCACGAAGGTTCCTGCGATGAGAGTCCTGGAACAAGATGTGACCTTCGTAAGAGTTTGTAGTGTACTCTTATGGATTTCGCGTTTGGGTGGTTACCTATGATTTCAGCAACATTGTTTGGGTGGAGGTGTATGATTTTGTAGGGTCCTTTGAAGACGGGTTTAGTTTTGTCGTTTCTCGCAGTTTTCGCCACCTGTTTATAGACTGTCTCACCTACCTTAAACATGATCTCCTCGGCTGCTTGATTCCGTTTTGTTATTACCTGTTCTTTGTTTTTAGACATGTGGGCTGCTACGCACTCTTGAACAGCCTCTGCATTCGAACGATGTTTGATTACGTAATCCTGATAAAATTCTTTGGGATAATATAATTCTAATGGGCTGCGAGATGCTGTATGACCAAATAAAAGTTCGCGAGGAGTATACCCTGTGATCGAATGTATAGAGTTATTATAAGCTATAATAGCATATTTCATTAACAGTTGTATTGGGTCGTCCTTATTGGTCATTCTTTGTATTCGTACAATTTCTCCTATGGTTGAGTGGAAACGTTCTATGGGAGAGTTAGAGTTAGGATTATAAGGCGTCGTGAAGTGGATGTTAATGTCGTGTAACGCACATATTTCTTTAATTACGTCATTGTCAAATTTATTGTCAGAGTCTGTTGTTATTTTATGGGGTAATCCTAGAATAGAGAAAACTTGTAGTAGTGCTTCGGCTATATGAACGCTACTTGATGCACTTAGGGGTATAGCCTGAGCTAGTTTTGAAAAATTGTCTATCACGGTAAGGAAGGTTGCTCCTCCTGTGGAGTAAAGGTCCATAAATAGATGTTGCATAGGTTTTGTTGGGGTCTCAGTTAAAGCTAACGGTGGTTTTAGGGGATTTCTTTCGTATTTTGTTTTTAGGCAGATATCGCATTGGTTTATGAATCTTTGAATAGTTAGTAACATATTTGGCCAGTGATAATTCCTATGTAGGTGTTTATATGTTTCTTGTATACCTCGATGCACTGTTTTGCCTTCGTGGTATTTTTTAATTAATTCTTGTTGTTCGGATTTGTTTTCAACTTGGGTAATACGCGAAGTACATCTTATTAATTTAGGTCCTCTATCATTAAAAATGGAAGTGTAAACCCTTGAAAAGGCTAAGTATAAATTTTCTTCATAAAAATAGCAATGAAATATGCGATCTGCTATAGTATGTTCTTTTAAAAACCTAATAATTTCAGCCTCAGTGTTATTAATCGGGATAAAAACGTCTTTAATTATTGTTCTGGAATTAGTGGATCTATTTTCTACTCTGTAACTAGAACCTGGGGTTGATCTAATATAAAACTGTTTTAATTGTTTGTCAATAGCGTCTGATAAAATGGGAATCCCTTTATTCTCATTGTCTGGTTGAGTGTGGTTTGTCGATATCATATCTGTTTCAGCTGTTACTGCGTCACTATCCTTTTCGTTGTTATCTACTAAGTCGCTTGTCATTTCAACGTCATCTGTTGCTTCAGTCACTATTTCTATAACGTCATTATTATTAGTAACGTCATTTCGAGGTTCAGCTGTTTCGTTTTCTAAACGCACATTGTCAAATATTCGGTTTATGATGTTGTCATCGTCATTATCATCTAAGTTAACCGCTAAGGAATCTATACTTTTGTGAAAAATTTTAGCTCTAGACAGAGCGTCTGCGTTTGTATTTTGTTTACCCTTTTTGTATACTATTTTAAAGTCATATTCAGCGAGTTTTAGTTTCCATCTAGTCAGTTTAGAGTTAGGGTCCTTAAGAGACATAAGCCACATCAACGGTCTATGATCTGTATAGATAGTAAACTTACGACCATATAAATAAGGTCTGAAGTACTTTACGGCCCAAACAATACCTAACAGTTCTTTCTCTATTGTAGAGTAACGGGTCTCAGTATCAGAAAGTGTTCTAGATGCAAATGCTACAGGCATATCTGATCCTATATTTCCTTGGGATAGTACGGCGCCTAATGCTACGTCGGAAGCATCTGTAGTTAATATAAAGGGTTCGTCGAAATCGGGATACTGTAGTATTGGGGCGTTTGTAAGGATTTGTTTGCATTTATCTACGGCGTCTAAAAATTCGGGGGTGTGTATTACTTTCGCGTTTTTCTTTAGGCATGCTGTTAATGGCTTAGTCAGTTTGGCAAAGTCTTTGATAAATTTTCTATAATACCCTACTAGGCCCAGAAAAGATTTTATCTCTTTTGGCGTCCGTGGTATTGGAAAATTTAGAACGGCTTTAATTTTATCTTTATTTGGTTTTAGTCCTTGGTCAGTTAATTCATGTCCTAAGAAGGTTACTTGTTTTTGTAAGAATTCTGATTTGTCAAGTTGTATTTTAAGATTATGCAATTTAAATCTGTCAAATACCTGTTTTAACTTTTCTAAGTGTTGTTGTAGTGACGTAGACACAATTATGACGTCATCTAAGTAAGTGAATACGCTATCGATGCCTCTAAGGATATGGTCCATTAAGCGTTGGAAAGTACTTGGTGCATTTTTAAGACCAAAGGGCATTCTTAAAAATTCGTAATGTCCTCTCTCGGTAGTAAAAGCGGTTTTCTCTATGTCGTTAGGGTGCATTTCCAATTGATGGTACCCGCTAGCTAAGTCGAGGGTGGTAAAATACTGTGCACGCCCTAATCTGTCAAGTATGTCGTGAATGTTAGGTAAAGGGTACTTGTCCTCTACTATTCTGTCATTAAGTCGTCTATAGTCTATAACAAGTCTCCATTTTACTTTCCCAGAACTGTCTGCTTTCTTTGGAACAATGTGAACAGGACAAGACCATGGTGATATACTTTCCCTGATT